CCATGGCCATTGCCAGCTCTGGAACTGGCACTGCGAACACACTCCGGTGTTCCTCGGTGTTCTCGCTAGTCTGCAAAAATGCGCTTTTGGCATCGCATTTCACTTGTGACCAACCGCAACAAGAAGCCATGGTCATCATGAGTTGTCTAGTGCGTCTACTCATTGTTGGACTAGTCGTACTAAGGCTTCCAAGGTCGGGGTCACTAAAACCTACGATCACTATTCGAGCCTTCGCTGCGCCAGAGGACTTGAAGGTCAAAACCCAGCGCATCCGCATGGTCCGGCTGCGAGGAGCGATCTGGTGCTCCTCAAGAGCTTTGCAGGCAGCCGCTTGGATCCATTGACCAACTTCCAAAGACTTGGCCTTCTTCATGTCTTCAACTTGTTCTGGAGTAAGATGCTCCATCTTCACTTCAACATGTTTCTTCAACTTGTTCGCTGTCCAAGTCACTGGGTCTCGCTTGAACTGCTTCATGCTCTTTTCATCTGTGGGCAGCTCCAAAGACATGGCAACAAACAAAGGAGGTTCACCTTGACCATCTTCAGGTTGAAGTGACTCGCAAGCAAATGAGGTTTCCTCAACCATCTTCGCTTCACCGTGCCGTTCTTGAGCCTTTTTGAAAAGCTCATTGCGTTTGAGCTCACCAGTCCAGCTCTTGCCAGCAGCTCCATGGCTAGTTGGAAATTCGCAGGAAGGGTCGCTGAGATAGCGGCCGGGCGAAAAATCTGAGCTAGCTAAGGATGGGGCATTAGGAGTCGCTTCAAGAGAAACCATTCTAGAGCCTCCAGGGTGTGATGTCCCTTTCACTGAACCCGATGCCGACTGTGCCTGACCAGTCCCTAGTGGCATCTCTTTGCCGCTCTTTCTTTTCGAATCTCCTAATGGTCGAACATCCGAATTTTCTTGAGGTCTTTTGCGGCTTATGGGATCTACATGCGATCTTGTTGGTTCTTCTCTTTTCATCACAGGGGTCCTACTCCTAGCTGAGCTGCCTCTCACTGGTGGCGCTGCGCTTCGAGATCGCCGGGCCGGAGTCGCAGGGCTCGGTTGCAGCAAATCATCGTAAACATCAAATTGTCCACGATCAACTTCTTGCAGCATACCTTGAATGGTCCAATCAAAGCGAGGTGGACCGTCAGCCTCAGCCAGAATCTTCTCTGTCTCGCTAGCCAGGCGCAATTGTTCAGGAGCAACACGCTTCAAGCGACCGCCAGCAGTAATCCAGACAATGTGACCAGGCCTCGCTGAGTCGCCGTCCAAGAAGCTCTCAGTAGCGACCACACGACCTGGGCCATACCAGCGAGCTATTTGTCGTCTTGTCACATCAACATCCTTGTGTGACGCCAAAGACGTGGAAGGTGCCTTATATCGCTTGTAGTAAATGAGTGCGCCAGGAGTCCAAATCTCACGCTTTTGAGCCTTGGAGTTCCAGGCTCGATTGATGGCCTCTTGAGCCATGTTCTTCTTGTACTCTTGCTCAGCCTTGAGACGAAGGACCATGGTCTTTTGCACTCTGTCTTGTGAAGCTCGTTGAGACTCATGGAAACTCGTAGCTTCTCTTCCGCTCTCATGAATCTTCTCATCGATGCCCAAGGAACGTCCCAGTGCCCATTGAGCTGGAGAAAAAACCCGCAATCTTTCCAACTTCATTATGAGCTGCACACATGGTCACAATGGCCTCCCAGGGATCAACTGCGTTGCTGCGAAGGAAGCGCTCCACCGATTTCCTTAGTGTCCCAATGGCACGCTCCACAACACCGATCTGATAGTGGGCTTCAGCTGCACAAGGCTGAAGCTCGATGTCACGGGTGCCGCAGAAGTCTTCTAGCAGCCGTGAGCGAAAGGCTCCTTCGGGATCAAGTCGAAGAACCGAAGGATGTCCAAAGAATCGAATCCAGGAGTTCTGCAAGGCATCTACCACCTGTTCAGCAGTGGCATTCTCATGTTCTCCTTCGTCAAGCCGATGTAGGAGATGGGGTACCATGAAAGTAGAAGCCTCATCAACCATGATCATGGCGGTCACCGTCTTGGTGCCTACCTTGAAGTACGCATTGTCAACTTGCAAGGTGTGCCAAAGAGTGTCCGAACGATTAAAGCTCGCTCGGGCTGCAGGAACAGATCGCTTGGTCTCTGCACAGTCATCACAATGCATGTACTTGGCCGCCAAGGTGATGAGGGGATGTGCTCCTCTCGCTTTCAGGGTGGCAACCAAACTTGTGGAGGGATGACCGGCTCGGACATGAAGTCTCTTGACCAATGCTAAAACTCTCTTCCATTCGACTGGAGAGACACCATCAGGCACAACAGTCTCAATCTCAGACACCCCATAGGCTAAGAGTGCCTCTTCATCTTTTTCTTGCACAGTTTCAACGTGAGGGGGTAGGTCACGTCGTAGGATCTGCCTAGCAATGATTCTCACCATTCGAGGAGGGTAGAAGCCTGTTTTCTTGGCCGACTGGCCTCCCATAGCTTCTCCGTGTTGGTGATCATGAGGGCATACAAGGTGCAAAGCGGAAGCCATGGCACGGTCAGTCACATAGATCGTCCAGGGCTTCAGCACGGGCTCATTCTTGTCATTCACAACTCCTACTTGGCAACCATGGAGCAATGTGCGGAAGAGGTTCTGCTTCTTCTCATGGACCTCCTTGAAGAAATCCTTCAGCTCCTTTTGGTGCCAACCATCATTCGTCTTTGGCCACTCCCAACCAAAGTGTCCACCATTTTCAAAGACATGTACTCGAAGGAGTTGAAGAGCTCGACGGACTAGTTTTCTAGACTTCTTCCGGCGAGCCAGAGATTTCAGCCAGGCTTGTTCAGTCAGCTCGTTGAGATGTTGTATGGGACTATTAGCCCCACAAGGCAGGGATAGCCACATCCATCTCGGCTTTTCTCTTCTCACAAAGCTAATAGCTTGGGTCAGGCCATCAACTGAGTTCAAATTCATGTTGTGTTCGGTCACTCTGGCTGAAGATCCTCCGAGTCTTTCCACCATAGCTGCGAGTGCGCTATCAGGAGGACAGCACACTTCCAAAAGATCTAGGCTGCGCGCTTCAGGAGAAAACAGTACCACTCCAGGCATGGAGTCAAAGGAAAGGTTCACAAATTCATGCAAGCTGTCATTGATGGCCGTCGTAGTGTCATTCATCGTCTCGGCCACCAGACACTTCACGCTCTCTGGCGTGGTCAGTTCGCACCCGTCGGAGGCATCTCGGTCCAAGAGCCGTCCGACTCCTCCGCTGCTGCTTCCAGTGCCTCTGCACCTTGAGAACCAGTCCTCTTCGACTTCCTCTGAGTTGGTGTAGTGGTTCTCATGGCTTGGGGCTCGTCCTTGGTCTTGTCCTTCTTCAGGGCCTCCTTCTGCTTCTGGATGGTCTCCAAACGTCGATGGAGACTCCTCTCTGCGCCATCCAAAGCCACCTCCGCTGTACGAAGCACAGAAGGGTCCTTCTCGATCTCGTTCGCCTTCTCGATCAGCTGGTCCTTGGTGTCGGTGCTGAGAGGACCTGCACTCCTGTACTTGGCATGAGCGCCATATGCTGGGATGTACTCGAGGCGAAGCATGCAATTCTGACATGTCTTCCACATTGCCCATCCGTTCTTCCCGGATGGAGAGCCACGTCCGAAGGGGGCTTCCACATGCTGGCCCTTGCACGGTCCTCCTTTGAACCGAGGATCTCTGGGATCCGGCCCTTCCTTCCTGGCGAAGTCGTAGATCTGGTCGTCGGGCAGCTTCTGGTTCTTCTGCCCTTTGGATTTCCCCTTCGCCGTCACCTTCTTCGGTGTCTCGGGTTGACTGCATGTAGTCGACGGGGTCCCGGACATGGCTATCGTGTGAAATCCCCGGGTTCGTGCCCTCGCAAACTTCAGACTCGAACCCAAAACCTGCAGACGTGGGAGATTCAGCAAGTACAAGAGGTTCGGAAGGAAGAAGTTCTTGATGTGAAGGAGGAGGAACAAAGGGTTCATCAAACTGATACTCATGTGCAAAATCGTCAATATGACCGGCTTCTGCTTGATCTAGATGATTACTATTCTCGACAACCATGGCTTGTGACGATGAAAGATGCTCCATATATACCTCATCGAATCGGGCGTCAAGCCAATCAGAGGAAAGATCTAAAAGCAAGTGACCTGTCCGCTGACATTGTTGCAGCGGAACCAATTCATCACTCACAGCACAAAAGCTGGCAGTCTTGCTGCCGAAATCGATCACCGCTGCGAGCCTCTCAAGGGTCCTCATGCCAAGGAGCAGTGGCACATAGCGATCGTCCGTGTCCAGAGCATGTACTCCAAGCCAAGTATGGGTGCCACCAATGCTCTGTGGGATCTCAACGTATGAAGTGGCTTGGAGAGTGCGTCCATTTCCAAACTTGAATGTCTTCCGGACGTCCTGGTTGACACGGATCTCCTCATAGCCAAACTTGGACTGGCGGCGATTCATAATGGCCGTCAGTGCGTGCAAGGACGCAACCGTCTCGGTAGCTCCACAGTCGATCACCGCGTGGAACTGATCATCTGAGGGCTGAACAGTCCACGCTGAAATGGTTTCCTCAGCATCCATGGAGTCGTCTTGAGCCATGAAGACCGAGCTGTCAAATTCATTGGTCGTGTAGGTGTCGTTCTCCAGAGAGGCATAGAGAACGTCGACATAGTGTGCACTGCCACCACCTTTTCGTTGATGTCGCTT